AGATAGCGGTGGCTCAGAAACAACACTTTGGCATCAGCTTCGACAATTTAGAATTGGGCTTTTCTTTGAGACATGAGCAGATAGAGGTACTTCTTCTGCTTCAGTGTATGGCAGACTGCCCTGTTGACTGAGTTCTATTCTCCTGAGACCCACAGAGAGAAACTTTTACCTAAACTACAATCAATGTCTTTTTATCCATCACTACAAGTGAAGAATCTGGGTGTTATTTTCGACTCTGAGCTGACTTTTATCCACCACATGGAAAACATCACAAAAATAGGTTTTTACCATCTCAAGAATATCGCCAGAGTCCGCCCCATTCTCTCTCTGGCCAATAAGGAGACGCTGATGCATGCTTTTATAACCAGTAGAATTGATTACTGCAATGCCCTGCTTTCTGGTCTTCCCAAAAAGAGCATCTCAGGTTTACAACTTTTACAAAACTCAGCAGCACGTGTCCTGATGAAGACCAGGAAGCGGGAGCACATCACTCCAGTTTTAGAATCACTGCACTGGCTCCCCGTATGTTTCAGGATTGATTTTAAGGTTCTTTTAATGGTTTTTAAGTGTCTTAATGGTCTCGGGCCTTCTTATCTTTCAGAACTGCCTTGACTATATAAACCCCTGCAGTCTCTGCGCTCCTCTGGCAGCCGTCTCCTAGTTATCCCTAAAGTTAAGACACACACCCATGGCGAGGCGTCCTTCAAGTATTATGGCCTTCGCCTTTGGAACGGGCTGCCGGAGGACCTCAGGGCCGAAGGGAACGTCCAGGCTTTTAAGAATAGGCTTAAGACCCACCTTTTTAGCTTCGCTTTTAACTGATCACTATTTATCTAGTCTGTTTAACTGTATCGCTTGTCATATTTGTTTATTCATGTATATATATATATATATATATATATATATATATATACCTATTTATCTCTTTGACTTTTTTATGTACCTCTTAGTGTTTTTACATGATTATGTTTTCTTTTACTATCTTTATAATCACTTTTTATCAGTTACTTTCTATCCATATTAGCTTTTGTTATTTTACAGTTATATATTTTAATCCTCCAGTGTTTCCTCTGCGGAGCCCTCTGCCTTGGGGCCAGTGGTGGGCGGCGGTGGCCGAGGCGCTCCTCGGGTAGTGCCCGCGCAGTGGTGGGGGTCTCCACCCTCCGTCCCTGGGCGTCATGGGCCGGTGTCTTGGCTGCTGCCGTGGATCTGTTGCTGTCGAGGCAGATGGCTCCGCTGATGATGTGTCGTCCATTACATGACCCATCTGAACTCAGCCTATTGTTTACTCTGTTGTTCATGTGTGCGTGCGTGTGTGCGCGAGTGTACGTTCACCTTGGAAATTGGTTATGGGAGGGGAAGTGTAATTGTCAATTGTTTTATACTTGGGGAGGGGGGCTGGGATGGGAATATGGGATCTATGGGGCCATTTTAATCTGTGAAGCAGATCTATTCTTTTGTATGAAAAGTGCTATATAAGTAAAGTTGATTTGATTTGATATTACTAGTACGAATACATCAGGTTGTTGATTGTTTTATCCTAGCGCCATTCAATTGCGTGCTCAGACTGTTGCAAAGACAGCCGTAGATTCCACCCGTACAACTGATCTGTCTATGGGTCATGGCCAGACTATGGCTTGCTAGGCTACCATTGCCTACAGCTTCTTACAGAGTTTCTCTTTCGTTTGTGTGCAACAAGCCTCAATATATCCAACTCCAGGTATGGTTTTCAAAAAGGAGAACACTATATAAACTCCAGCTGCCAAACACAAGGCTGGTTTTGCTGTGCAGCCTCCAGTAGCTGGTTTTTGGCCCAGCAGAACTCTGCAGTGTGAAAATATAAACCCTGATCTGCTCTTTTTACCCACATTCACATTTCTCTATAGACTTAAGGTCATTGAAACCCAAACATGCTGACTGATGTCTACTTACAACAATGTTTCATGGCTTCGGGCAAACTTACTTCCCCTTAAGTCACACATAAAAGCAAATGAAGCAAGTAAAGTTAAACAAATGTTCTTCATCTAATGAGCTCCTTGGGCAGATGGCATGTAAAAATGGAACTGTATTATAAATAATGATTTTGGTGTTTTGATTCAATCTAAAAAGGTGCTCAAGTACAAATCAGATGGATCCAACAACAATCACAGTTGAGTTCTTAGGATGTATTTCAACAAAGAGATCCAGAACCTTTTTTAAGCCTGGCAAATTGTTTATCTTAGACCAGGGGTGTCAAACTCATTTTAGCTCAGGGGCCACAGTGAGGAAAATCTAGTTCCAAGTGGGCCGGACCGGTAAATTAAAACCTGCTTTTTCTAACAGTCATTGAGGGCGCACCATCTGTAGCGAGGCTTACAGCGTGTGACCATTGCACTCCGACCCTGTCCAGGACTCCCAACGAGTTCGGTGAAAATATCAGCTGCTGTTGTTGTATCCGTCATGGGCACCAGCTCAATAAACTCCTCGGTGACGGTCAACGTGTCAACTCCGGATGAAAATCGCCAGTTGAGCTACATCTGTAATGTCTGTGCTTTCATCAATAGCAACTGAAAAAGCAATAAAGGACTTTACTTTTTCCTTCAGTTGGCTGTCCAAATCTGCTTAAATATCGAAAATCCTGTCTGGAATTGTGTTTCTGGTCAGGCTGATATTTGCAAAAGCTTGGCGCTTTTCAGGGCAAACAACCTCCGCTGCCTTCATCATGCACATTTTTACAAATTCCCCCTCACTAAATGGTTTGGAAGCCACTGCAATTTCATTAGCAATCAGGTAGCTAGCTTTCACTGCAGCATCACTGATATCTCGGCTGTGAGCATGGATATAATTTTCACTTTAGAAGTGGGGGGGGACACTGGGGGGGTATCTGTACAGTATGCTCTAATGAGAAACAGGCTTCAAAACAAACGGTTGTTTTCCGCTTGGTCCTAGAGCTCAACCAGTGTCAATTTAATATAGCGTAATGTTGTTTTTGGATGGTAAAAAGTGCAGGGGTCAAAACTTGACTTTGGAAAACGGGTGGGGGGGTCATGTCGTCCCCCTCCCCCTCCCCCCCCCCCCCCCCCACCCCAAATTACGTCCATGGCTGTGAGTAAACGCAGACTGCTGTTTCTTCAGTCCGGCCAACGGTTCATTCACCTTCTCTCTTCTCCGCTGTCCTTCATATTTGTCATATTTTTCGGCATGAAGACTCACGTAATGGCGACAAAGACTATATTCTTTCAGCACTGCAACATGCTGTGAACACACCAAACACAGCTTTTCCGTTCACTTCCATGAAAAAATAGGGGGATGTCCATTTTTCTTGGAACAACCTGCACTCTGTGTCCACTTTTCTCCTTTTTGACAGAGACATCTTGGGCTGAAGCACAAAATGTACACGCCGGATTAGATATCGGGGGCAAAACAAAGTAGTGTCAGAACACCTGTTGCACTTGGTTGATGTACTTGCTCTGGCTGAATATAAACGGCTTGCTTGCGTAACACAATGCCTATTGCACCATCTAGTGGACGTGTTGGGAACAGCAGTTCTTTTAAATTGGAAAAATTAGAGTTTATTTTCACTCTACATTGTAAAGTTTGAAAATTAAGTTTATACAACCATCTCGCGGGCCGGACATAACCTGGGTGTGGGCCGAATCCGGTCCGCGGGCCGCATAACTGACACCCCTGTTTTAGACCATCAGTATTTCTTTCATTCCTGCATTCCCACCAAGGCCTGCCACAGCATGCAGCTGCCTTGATTGTTTAATGTGAAAATACTCATCTAATCAGAAAGATTCAGAGCTCGTCCTTCCTGAAAGTTCCAGGTAATTTCATAAGCACTGCCTACCTACCAGGGGGTATCTTCTGGAGTAAGGTCATCAGGTAATCTGTATAGTCGAAACATACAAGGGGTAAAGAATGGCACCAGAAACCTAGGTTCCTAAAGTGGAAATGTGCCTTTACTTTGCTTTACAGACTATTTTGACTTCCCTCCTGCGTGGCTTTTTTAACTTCATAAAAAGGCCAATGGTGGAGCCATAGGGTTAGCTGCAGCCTACTGTTACATCTATGTGCTGTCGCCACCTAGTGGCCTTTAATGGAAAAAACTGACAGTTTTGAGAATGCAGCAAATTCCACAAGTTCTAAAACTTGCAAAAGCCAAAACAATGGCAGTTTTCTTTCCAGTAAATTTGCACAAAAAATACAAAAAAAAGGTTAATTCTCAGGAGTGAAATCTATTTTAAGAAAGAAAGAAAACGAGGCGCTTCACAAAATCCAAAAATTTAAGATTGAAACAGAAAAAAAATGATTAAGAATATGTTTAAAATGAAAATAAACAAATTTGTAATTAAAAAATGCAAGGAAAGGGAGAAAGAAAATGAATAAGAAAGAGGGAAATCGGTGGACCCCGGGAAAGGTGGAATAAGGGCAGAACAAGGAGAGGGTGGTGATGAAGGTCACACAAAACCAGCCTGAACAGGTGAGTTTTCCGCTGCTTTTTAAAGGAGACCACTGAGTCTACTGATTTCAGGCTCAGGGGGAGAGAGTTCCAGAGTCTGGGGGCCACAGCAGCAAATGATGTGTCACCTTTGGTATTCAGCCTGGTGTGCTGCACAACCAGTAGGCTTTGGTCACTGGACCTCAGGGACCTGCTGGGGGTGTAGGGACTAAGAAGAATGTATGGTGGTGCTTGGCCATGTAAGACCCTAGACCAGAACCAGGATCTTGAAATGAACCCTGAAGTTGACTGGCAGCCAGTGAAGCTGGAGGAGAAGAGGGGTGATGTGGGTGTGTATGGAGGACTTGGTCAGAAGCCAAGCACAGGCATTCTGAACCACCTGTAGACGGTTCAGGGAGGTTCTGCTCAGACACGTGAAATGAAATGGAATGAATACCTTACTTCTCAGCATTAAACAGGACTAAAATAAAACAATATTACACTGGATGTACTTATACCCATTAGATTTAGGCTCTTATTGGCTGATTTTAATATTTATTTTTCCTGGTGTCTAACTGACCTCTAGATCAGAGCTGATGGGCGAGGAGCCGTAGGACGTATCCGAGGAGCAAAGACTGTCCACTTCAATTGCTCTAGCTTTCCTCTGGAGAGGTGTGGCCTCAGATCCTTCTTTAAGGGTCATTTTCTGAGGAAGCAAACAAAATACATTAAGAAAATCATTGAAAAACTATCCAAAAAACCTTGGCTTACTTTTTTTGCAGGTTGATCACGGACATCCATGTAGCGCCCCATCTCCGTCATCTTCTGCAGATGCTTTGATGAAAAGGGTGAACGCTACAAGTATTTAATGTAAGAAATGCTGTAAGTGTGCACTGGCAATATTTGTAACACAAATGACGACAGCTTGTTGGTGATAACCATAAAAAAAAGTTATGTTTCAAGTGAAAGTGTAAAAAGAAGCTCATGATATAGTGCTGTACTCTGGAATAAAAGAGAAGAACTAAATAAACCTACCGTTTGCCCTGATGAGGGGAACTTCTGTTTCGTCTGTTGCTTCTTGACAACAGTCTCCTCAGCATCGTCTCCTGAGCTCCCTAAAAGGCTCTCTGTGTCGGGTGAAATTTTGACCTTCGTCTGCCTGGTTCCTCTCCTGCACCAGTGGAGGAATAAAATCTGACAGTGATGAGTTAAAAGTGAACAAATCGTACAAAAAGTTAAATATAAATACACTTCTGTTCATCACAGATCTTTTTTTTTATCTTGAGAGGAGGAAATATGCCAACATAAAGAAAACACATGTATGATGTCTCAAAAGGATACAAGCAAATCCAGGCCAGCACAGCTGGTCGATGACAGGAGCCATGGAAGAACCCTGATGAGAAACTTCAGCCGAGCGTCACAGAGGAGGATGGCTGCAGCGTAGACGGCACCAGACAGAGAGCAGAGCACGCCAGAGAAAATGTAGGTCTGAGTGAAGCTCTGCCCTCTTGCCTAGATGGACATAAACAAGAATGATTTAAAAACAACCGATTATGAAGTATGAGTGGCTCTGATTTGGTTCTGCTGCAGGGGTCTGCAACTTTCACCCCCCCCCCCCCCCCGAAATCTTTTTTACTCCTCTTCTGTAAACATCTACAAAATGTAACTGTTGTCAATTAAAAAATGCTACTGCTTTGTTTATACTTAAAAAAATTGTGTTAACTGCAAGTGGCTGCATGGTGGTGCAGTGGTTAGCACTGTTGCCTCACAGCACGAAGGTTGCAGGTTCGAAACTCGGCTGCGGCCTTTCTGCGTGGAGTTGCGTGTTCTCCCCATGCATGCGTGGGTTTCCTCCGGGTACTCCGGTTTCCCCCACAGATCACAACATGCCCTATAGGTTATAAATTGTAAGTCGCTTTGGATAAAAGCAACTGCTAAATAAATAAACATAAACATAAAAAACAAAAAGAAAACGTCTTAGGTGTGTTCTTGCTGTGTCGTATCTCTAATTCCATGCTGTAGTTCTTTTTTAAAACACAGAGCAGTTTTGTTTACCTGTTTTCCCGCTACGTTTCGTTTGCGGCTGCAAACTTCCTCAGGCTGACGCTGATGGTGGCGTCACTTCCTTCTCCGTTTATCAGCCACCATCAGCGTCAGCCTGAGGAAGTTTGCAGCCGCAAACGAAACGTAGCGGGAAAACAGGTAAACAAAACTGCTCTGTGTTTTAAAAGAGAACTACAGCATGGAAAAAGAAAACAGTATGGATATTTTTATCACATGAAATGTTGATACTTGAATAAAATTATATAAAATTATGCAGATCTAGGACTATTAATGGTAGTTTCAGGTTTCATTCTGCTGCAGAAATCCAATGGTTATTCCATGAAAACACTGATATCGGATTAAACTGCATTTTCTACTAAATCCGGATTTAAAAGCTTGACTTAGTCCTCCATCATTTTAGCCAAAGTTATTAGGAGACATCGTGGAAGCTCCAAGGAGCTACTTGTGTTTGCAGACCCTTGGTCTATTGTCACTTACTGCTCTGCAGAGAGCGGGGAACCTGGAGGTACAGTTGATGATGAGGGACAGCATCCCCAAAGTGTAACCAAGGATGTCACTGTAATCCTTTAGAAATACAAAAGCAGGTTGTTACCATGTGAGCTACAATTCCAGAAACAAATATCAGAATACACCTGCATACATAACTGCAGGGTTTTCTAAAGACTTTAGGAAAACATGTTGCTCAAACCCTGACTGAAATTATTCAAAGTGTGCACACTGAAAATACAATGGCAAGCCTAAAAGGGCAATAATAACAATACAATAATCAGATGACATCAAACACAATTGGCCTATGAATGCACACCAGTGAAGGAGTCCAGCTAGAGATTTGCATGTGACCAACATGCAGAAGCCTCCTACTCTCTGGCCCGTAAGCTGCAGGTTCAGCATCTCTGGACTTGAGAAATCCTCCTGCAACCACCATCAGCACCCCCACAGCCAGAAGATGCTGCCTCCTGCGCTTCTTGATCATCCTGAGCCTCCTCTCTGCAGCAAAACGCCAGAGAACATGACAGAAGTTTAAGTACATTCATTTGTGTTGTTATCTGCAGATAGAGTCCCACTGATAAGTTCGTTTTTGCCTAAAGGCGTGTGAACATTGTTTGCATATTGTGAAATTATCTGGAAAACTGGATGATTTCTAATTTAACTTGCGTGTGTTTGAGTTCCAGCACAAGAACACAGGAAGGCAGCACAAAATGCTGCTCACAGAATCCATCAAAGCTGCAAACGCAGACATGAAAACCTGCAAAGAAAGTGGAAATAAACCCATGCATGCGGCAGATGGAGACTTCTGTTTTAGTGAGAACCCCGTTACCAGTATGTGCAGCTGTGTGGAAAGCGTGGCTCCAACTGAGCTGCACAAGTTACCCAGAAAGCTGTAGATGATCATGGATGCTTCTCCTGAATATTCACCTGGAAATCTGCACCTCTGACAAATAATTCTGGAAGAGTCAGATTAAGTTGAAGATGTTTTACTTTTACATTATTGCCATATGTGTTCTGAATCTGGACTCACAGCAGGTGCGACAGCAGCAACAGGAGCGCAGAGAGCAGGGTGAGACCCGCGGGGACGCAGAGTTTGTCCGCGTCCTGCGTGAAACAGGTGGAGACGGAATCAAACCACGAAGCGAGCAGACGTCTGATGAGGCCGTCAGAGGAACCTCTCAGCGGATTGTACACGATCGATACACCCCCATCCATCTCAGCTACGAACTTCCGTCACATTCCAGGGAGTTTGACCTCTTTTTACCACCTGGTTGCTCAGGAACCTGGGTTATTATACTAAGGGGCGTGGCTACCTGCTTGTGCCAATCACCGCAAAGCAGCAGGAAGGTTCATTTTCATTTGGGACCGCTCGGATTGGTTCATACATACCTGCAATTATTAAATTTAGCCTAATTTTTTAAAGCATGAGAAAAACTCGTGGAGAAGCTGCTAGTAAAATGTTACAAAAGTTATTTTTAGTCAGAAAGTTAAATTCTCAAATTAATTCGAGCGAACACACACGGGATATAAAAAAATACAATATTCCAGTTTTATTGGAAAAATATGGAATCGTTGGAATATTGTTGAAGTTTGCGTTCTGTGTCAGGTGGCAGACTGATACCCTCATAGCCATTGATTGATAAAGTGATTTTCATCAAAGGTAACATAATTGAAGACTTCATTTTGGTAAATAATTCATCGTATTTACTTTATTAGCTATTTGCATTAACTGGGGATTCTGGAAAACTTAAAAAAATGAGTCATTGTGATATAAAAATGTCAACAAATCTCATTATTTAGATGTGTCACAAATGAAAACATGAAAAATGCAGAGTTGACCGTTTAAAAGCTCTTTAATGTGTTCTCATCCTAAATATAACAATTAAAAGTTCATTTTTCCCTTCTCTGAATAATTAGAGGGATTTGACAAAAGTGAAGCACAATGATGAAAACGTGTATTTTATTATGGAACAGTTTGGTGATGTGTATCATTGCTGCTGATGAGTAAAAGCGACATTTTATGTTCAGTTGTTTACCTCCAAGTGAAAATGGGACTTATTTTGTTTGTAAACCTAAAATCTTCACAAATGTCACGTTTAGATGAAAACTCCATCCACTGAAAGTTAACCCAGTGATCTGGTTGCTATGTGTTTAAACCAATATCACCTTCAAACATGATCAGCACGTACACACATTCATCAGTTAGGATGAGGACTTCTCCATATTCATCCACTGGAATCACAAACTGGAGTCTTTAATAAAACCAGAATTAATCAAGATACAAAAATCTTAGATTTCAAATCATCATCAAGCATCCAGGTGCTTATTAATCCTGCGTACTTTTTCCTTTTTGTTCCTGTTGCCGTGTTTTTTCCAGGGTTTTCCGATCACCGTCTCCGGTTCAGTGGCCCCAGGCCCAACAGGTCCACTGCCTGGTTTGTAGCCCATGATGGACTTAACTCCCTTGGTGAGCGCTTGTACATTTTCCTATAAAGTCCAACAAAACTTAAATGAGCTCATTATATAAATAACAACTCTCCACTAACAAGTGCATAATGTTCTTTTTTCCAGACAGCCCATAGCTGCTGCACAGACACAAGAAAAGTTCTACCTGATGGAAAAAGTTCTTGTCAACAACATTTTCAATCCTCTTGAGTTTAGGTTGTTTGTGTGATGCTGCAGACGAGTCCCCCACATCTGAATCTCTTCTCAGGAACTTGCTGTGCTGTGGCTGAAAGTCTTCTGGGTTAACGTGTGGCGGAGGATGGCAGAACAGAAGCTTTCCCTGTGAGGAGGGAACCGTGTCACATGTTAGGTTCATCTTCTATTCACATGTCCCCGTTAAGACAGGACAAGACAGCTTTATTTATGTAGCACATGTCCCACGCAAAAGCAACTCAATGTGCTTTAGAGCTTCACTGAAAATAAAACCAGCCAAGGTCAAGCTGCCCTGTTACTGCTGGTACCTGAGATGAATAAACTCTGGACTGCTAAACCTCCAGGAAAAACGATGAATTTCAAAAAGAAAGAAAAAAAAAGCCTAAATAATTACCAATGGATTTATTTCAGTTTTAAATCTAATGATTAATGACTGAATCACCTGTGAGTACATGATGGAAAGAGGGTTTTATTGCTTTAAATGTTCCAGGATAGAACTAGCCACGGTCATCCTGTCCCTTAGTACTGACTAAAAGGTGGAATATGGAACATGAACACTAAAGCGACACCTAGCGTGAGGAGGTTGTAGTTGCAACAATAGAACAAGGTTTCCAGACATCGGGACACCAGGTTCGCTGTCGATACGTGGCATTTTTTATGTGGGTCCATCTGTTGTAGGCTTCAAATGAACTCACTCTGGAGTTAGATGTTTTATGGTCGTTCCTCTTCTGAGAAGGATAACGTCACCTTCTGGGCTCAGAAGCAGCTGCTAGACGTGCAGAGTCTGCCATGTTCCACAGGGCCAGCTGTTTGGCAACCCACAACTGTGCCCTCTATTGGCTGGTAGGTGTAAACATAAAGCCAGTGTCATGCCCGTCAAAATAAATATGATTATTTTTTTAATAAAAATATAGTTTTTAAAGGAAATACCTTCATTCTGCACACCTCTAACTGTATTCTTTTTTAAAAGATAACTTTTTATAAATGGTTCCATATTCAACCTTTATTACTAAGAGATAAACTCTGGACTACTAAACGATTAATTTCAAAAAGAAATAAATAAAATAAATAAATAAAAAAGCCTAAATATTTATCAATGGATTTATTTCCATTTTAAATCTTACATGAATTATGTGTGAATGACCAGGAGTTGTGACCTGTGACGAATTTAAATGGTAGGAGGAGGGATTTTTTGCTTCAAGCATTAAAGTGACAGAAACCACGAAACAAAAAAAGCTGAAGTGTGAAACTTACGTTGACATAATCCTTCAGGATGTACCGGGCTGATCTGGGCTGATCAGGCTGGCCGTGTGACGTCATAAAACCTCTCATGTCTGAAACAGAAACAACACTAACACGTACAATTCTTCTAGTCATGAACAAAAAAAAAAAAAAAAAGGTTAAATGACCAGAAAGAAGAAAAAAGTTAAAGATCCTCATTTTGTTTTTCCTTAAAATGTGCATTTAATCAATATTTTGAGTTTTGGATCTGACTATTTTGAATCGTTTCTGTCTTTCTGAATTATGTTTTCTTGTTTGTTCTTTGATCTTACTTCCTTGTTTTTTACTCTCATCTGTCTTGTTGAGAATATAATTGCTGCTCTGACACCTAAATATCCCAAATGCGGGACACACCAGGAATTTTCTATTCTATTCTTCTAATGCACTAAATCTGTTCCAGAAAAGGCCACCTTATTGCAACTCCATTGAACTTTAAAGCTTATAAGTAGCATTTGATTTCCGGTATATTTGACTTGTAGCCTCACATCCATACGCCATGAGAAACTCCTCAGAGGTGGGGGGCCGGTCGGGGTCGTCGTCTTCTCTGGGTCTGATGATGTTGATGCCGTACGTGCCTTCTAACACATGCCGGGGGATCGTCTGAGTTATGTGGCAAACCCATTAAGGACTCAAATACTGGAATGCACCGTTAATCTGTCAGTTTAATCAGATTCATGTAAACATCCTAGCATAAAACCAACTTTTAAAATGAATTTAGATCAAATAAAAACATCTAAATCAGAAGAGTCAACCTCATTGAAACAAAAAGATATAAGGGACACTGCAGGAACGTGGTCTCTCATTTGGTCAATGGGCAGAATCCCAGAGCAGATCATCTCCGCTTTGGTGGAAACAAACGAGGGCATGACCAGACCGGGGCAGTCACACAGACACAGGCCTGGCTCCACATACAGAGTCTGGGATACAGCAAATCAAAACAAACATGTTTAGCGGTTTGCTGATGGAACCTCTGAGCTGTATCTTCACACACAGTCGAGATCTACCTGAAAGTGCTTCGTGTGTCCAGGTGTGGCCGAAACAGAAACTTTCTTATTCCTTAAGATGGTGTTGATGGTGGAGCTCTTCCCCACATTGGGATAACCAACCTGTTAAATCCAAACAGGAACATTTTTTAATTTCTTTCCTTAAATAAAAGTCCACGTTGTGGATTCCTAAGGCAACTAAAGAACCACAAACCAACAGACTATTGTTTATTTCCATGCATAATGTAACAAATTACCCCCAAATACCCTGATGGAACAGATTATGAGTTTTTCTCACCAGTCCCACTGTGAGCTGTCCCTCTTTAGTCCTGGGCCCCTTGTGCACAGCTTTAAACATGTTCAGTAGCTCATCTTTCTGCAGCAGGCGGCTGGAGTTGCGTATGGACTCACTACATGAGCTGGAAATTTCTTGCTCTTCCTCCTCACCTTCTGAGCAGGTCTGCCATTCCTCTTCATCCACAGTTACCTTTTCCTGCTCATCTTCTTCCACATCACTCTCCTCTTCCACCTCTTCTCTTCCATCCAACATATGACTGGAATTTCCACTGCAGGTTGATTTTTCTGCTTCTGGATCGCTTTCTGCATTTTCTGGATCGTCCACCTCCGTGCCCTGTGAAAGTTTCAAACGACCGACAGCTTCCTAAAACATTCAGCGATCCTATAAAAAGACGGATGAGTTCAGATTCAAGATCATCGTCACCTTTTCTTCTGCATCCAGTCTGTTGCTCTCAGCGAGGGCTGACCAGAAAACTGCCATCAGACCTTCTTTCTCAAAATATCTGGCCCAGACTCGCCTCTGCTGCCTGGTCAACAGGTCCGCCTTGTTCACCAGCAGCATGTTGACTTTATGTGGCGACACCTCTTTCACATACAACTCCTGTTGGTGAATTAAAGAAATGTTACAGCTTGTAAAAATACTCTTTTGATGCAGAATTTCATCTGATTACAGACAGAATCTCGTGGATTCTATCAACATATTTTTGAATCGTTTTATGATTTTACCTAAATTTATATCAAGGTTACAGAGAACGATCTCCAAATGCAGAAAAAGAACATCACAGCAGCACATAGAACAATCTGAATTTAGACAATGCAGCATACTGGAAAGAGAGATTTACATTCATTTGTTCATTTTTCTTTGTTCTTAAAGACTCACCAAGTCAGCACATCTGAAAAGTAAAGGGTTCCTAGCATCGACTATCTGAACGACGACGTCACTAAAGGAAAACACGACAGTTTTGTATTTAGCATCCTGTTAAGACGTTTCTCACTAATGATGATAATCTGACAGCTCCAGACCTACCTTCTCTCGATCACTCTCCACAGCTGCCTCCAGAATTCAAGGTTCCTCTCAAAGGGTGTGAGAATCAACTTCTGCTCTTCTTCAAGTCTTTTAAAAGAACACAAGAATCATCTAATCAGTCTGAAGTGCAGACTCTGAAAACAAATATAAAGTACAATTCACATTTGGTGGGTTATTTAAAATGTTTTCATCCTGAACAATTAAGCTTGCAGAAATGTTAAACTAATATTTTAGTTTAAGTGTAATCAAGAGGGGTTTTATAAGAGTTGATAAAAACAAATGGCTGTTTTAACCGTCATGAAGCCATACTTCATTATTTGGCCTTTTTCTTTAAAATAAAGAAGTGTGAGAAATTCCAGAAATTTTAGATTTACGACGAAAGTGCAAGTTTAACTATCATCGTTACATAACAAATGAAAGTGCTGTGGTGATGCTGATACAAGCATTTAATTGAAGCAAATATATGTGGAAGTAATGACAATGAGTTTTAAATTTTAATGTCAGAACAACAACTTGGAACACACTGTGCGAGTTCTCGTCTCCACTGCAGGAAGCTGTCTTTCTCGGCCTGCTGAAGTACATCTGGAGTGGTGCTCTCATCCCACTGGGGGCTACAAACACAAACAAATCACAACTCAGTGAAACACCAACATTTAAATGTTGTAAAACCAACTGGACAGTATCAGCGTACCGTCGAGGAATTCTGAGGAAGTGCTTGTTGTCTTCGTGCAGTTTCTTTAACCTCATTTTCTCCTCAGCTGTTAACAAACCTGCTCTCGCTTCAGCTGGAACAAACTTGATGTTGAGCTTCTCTAAGAAAAGGAACAGCCAAGGAAACGACTAAACAGTCACAATCACATTCACGTCTGGCAAACAAAAACAAGACAAAGGCATAAGAACGCTATATTTTACAATTAGGTACAATATGATGAAGCACATGAATGATGTGCCAGATAATGACAAGCTTTTAAACTTTGAACACAGCTTACTGTAATTTACAGCTGAAACTTGTATTATTTTTGGTGAAAACACACATTTAAACAACCGAAGTGCTTCTCTTGACCTGAGTCGTGTTTGAGTTTATTTACCTGCAACAAACTCTGTTCCTGCCAGTTCAGCAGTGGCCAGAAAGTCATCCATTGAGCTCTGCTCTGTTACGGATTGCAGGTTCAATCGACCCCAGTCGTAGCCATCGTTCAGTTCACTGGTGTGAAGCTTAAAAGTGATACACGTGTGACAATGACACAAAACTACTAATATTTGGTCTGAAATGTAGCCAGAACAAATGATAATCCACTCAATCTGGGGGGGACAAACACCTCTACGCTTTTCCAACACACACACACACACACACACACACACACACACACACACACACACACACACACACACACACACACACACACACACACACACACACTACAACACAATAGGTTAATGACTATTGTACACATTATATTAAACCCTATGTGCCAGTAAAGTTGATGTCATACCCAGGAGTCTCCCCTCTTGGTCCCTCGGCTCGTCTGGAGTCTCTCTTTAATCAGAGCTCTACCAAGTCCTCCTCCCGCCTTCTTCTTCCCCATAACTACTTCTGAAGCGATCACACCACAATATACTACAAAAATACCGAAAAGGATGTCTGTCTCTAAAAAGTGCTGTCCATGTGGACTGCGTTGTTTTCCTTACAAACGGAAATGGAACAAACCAATTGAGTCACATTTCCGGAAGAATACTTACTTTATTTACTTGATTAATAAAATATCAACAGCATGGCTGATTCAAAACTGTTTTTCTATTAAAAGCTAAAACAATAAATTTAATCTAAGATGTATTTTATTCTGGACGTTTGTTTAAACGAGTCTAGCTAACGTGGTACATTCGTGTGCGGTCCGCTAACAAATGTGCTTTAAAGAAACAAAGACCGTAAATAGGTGTTCCGGTTTGTTTTTAAGAAGAAGAAGAAGAAAATCATCTCTATAGCGCCTCTCAAGATAAAAATCACGAGGCGCTTCACAAAAAAAAGTTAAAATATAAAAAATCATTTAGAAAATGTTTAAAAATATACTTAAAATGAGCAAAAATAGGCAATTGGGATTTAAAAGAAAAAATGTTAAGAAGAGAGAGAGAGAGAGAGAGAGAGAGAGAGAGAGAGAGAGAGAGAGAGAGAGAGAGAGAGAGAGAGAGAGAGAGAGAGAGAATAGGAAAGAGGGAAATCAGTGGATCCTGAGGAAGGTGGAATAGGTGGGGAGAGCAGAATGAAGAGAGAGTGGTGAAGAAGGTCATACAAAAGCCAGCTTGAACAGGTGAGTCTTCAGCTGCTTTTTGAAGGAGTTCACTGAGTCCACTGATCTCAGGCTCAGGAGTTCCAGAGTCTGGGGGCCACAGCAGCAAATGATCTGTCACCTTTGGTCTTTAACCTGGTGCGCTGCTCAACCAGCAGGCTTTGATCACTGGACCTCAGGGACCCTCTGGGGGTGTAGGGACTAAGAAGATCACCAATGTAAGATGGTGCTTGTCCATGTAAGGCCCTATAGACCAGAACCAGGATCTTGAAATGAACCCTGAAGTTGACTGGCAGCCAGTGAAGAAGAAGAAGAAGAAGAAGAAGAAGAAGAAGAAGAAGAAGAAGAAGAAGAAGAAGAAGAAGAAGAAGAAGAAGAAGAAGAAGAAGAAGAAGAAGAAGAAGAAGAAGAAGAAGAAGAAGAAGAAGAAAATATCATTTCTATAGCGCCTCTCAAGATAAAAATCACGAGGCGCTTCACAAAAACAAAAATAAAAAAATGTAAACTATAAAAAAGCATTCAGAAAATGTTTAAAAATATATTTAAAATGAGCAAAAATAGGCAATTGGGATTTAAAAGAAAAAATGTTAAGAAAGAGAGAGAGTGAGTAGGAAAGAGGGAAATCAGTGGATCCTGAGGAAGGTGGAATAGGTGGGGAGAGCAGAATAAAGAGAGAGTGGTGAAGAAGGTCATACAAAAGCCAGCTTGAACAAGTAAGTCTTCAGCTGCTTTTTGAAGGAGTTCACTGAGTCCACTGATCTCAGGCTCAGGGAGAGAGGTCCAGAATCTTGGGGCCACAGCAGCAAATGATCTGTCACCTTTGGTTTTTAGCCTGGTGCACTGCACAACCAGTAGGCTTTGATCACTGGACCTCAGGGACCTGCTGGGGGTGTAGGGACTAAGAAGATCACCAATGTAAGATGGTGCTTGTCCATGTAAGGCCCTATAGACCAGAACCAGGATCTTGAAATGAACCCTGAAGTTGACTGGCAGCCAGTGAAGGAGGAGAAGCGGGGTGATGTGGGTGTGTTTGGAGGACTTGGTCAGAAGCCGAGCACAGGCATTCTGAACCACCTGTAGACGGTTCAGGGAGGTTCTGCTCAGACACGTGAAAAGAGAGTTACAGTAGTCTAAGTGTGAGGAGATGAAGGTGTGGAGAACTGTCTCAAGTTCAGAGCGGGACAGAATGGGACTCAGCTTAGCAATGTTCCTGAGATGGAAGAAGGAAGAGCGAACAAGAGAACTGACATGAGAATCCAGGGTGAGAGCTGGGTCAAAGGTCACGCCAAGATTCCTGAAACACAAACACAAATCACATTCAAAACTCATGAATTTGGAAGTAGATGAGATTATTCTCAGCAAAATACTTTTTTTTTCAACACAACTTGTTGTTTGCCTAAGTACGTCTCGCCTGTTGTCATTCAATGTTTCTTCAACAAATGTGCTTCAAAATAAAACCACTAGATGGCAGCAAAAATGTGTTTTACACGATTTGTTTTACATTAAAATTTAGGCCTGGTGGAGATTTTTTGCAAAGAAAACGAAAAGAGATTAAATAAAGAAAGGGAAACATTTATTCTTTTATCCTTTTTAACATTCAGAGCAAAATATTAATTTATTTGTGTGAGTAAAAATCTTTAAATCAATATTTGGCAACTAAATGTATTTGCTTGTTCAAGCCTATCATGCAGTGGCGCACGCTGCGCTTGGACTCTCTGACCACGTGACCATCCATCTGATCCCAGCTTACAAACAAAGGCTAAAACTTTCCAAGCCTGTTGTGAAGTCAACAAGACAGAGGAACACATGCCGCAGATGAGCTTCGCGCATGCTTTGAGACCACAGACTGGGAGGTAATGAAGGCCACCTCAGACAGTTTAGATGAGTTCACAGATACCGTCACCTCCTACATCCACTTCTGTCAGGACAGCATCATACCATCACACACCAGGGTGAGTTATAACAATGACAAAGCCTGGTTTACCCCTAAACTCAAACAGCTGGTTAGAAAAGAGAGATGCATTTAAAAGGGGGGACAAGGACTCTACAGAGACACTAAATACAGGTTCAGCAAAGAACTGGTCAAAGCAAACCAAGACATCATCGGACTCATCTCTAATGGGGATGAGTCCGCTTACAGAATGGAGGCTGAACGGCTGGTGTCCTGGTGCAGCCGCAACAACCTGGTGCTAAACACCCAAAAGACAGCGGAGATTGTTGTGGACTTTAGGAAACATACACACCCCATCCCCCCCTTAAACCTGTCTGACAATCCCATCACGATGGTGGACTCATGCCGCTTCCTGGGCACCATCATCACCCAGGACCTCAAAAGGGAGCCCACCATCACCACCATCAGAAAAAAGGCCCAGCAGAGGATACTTCCTGAGGCAGTTGAAGAAATTCAACCACAGTCAATGAGGCCTTTCTACACCGCTATCATCGAGTCGATCCTCACCTCCTCCATCACCGTGTGGTACGCTGGAGCTACCACCAGGGACAAGAAGAGGCTGCAGTGTGTCGTGCGCTCTGCAGAGAAGGTCATTGGCTGCAAACTCCCCTCCATTCAAGATCTGTACACCTCTAGGACATTGAGGCGTGCAGGTCGGGTAATCGCTGACTCGTGTCACCCTGGACACAGTCTCTTTGACTCGCTCCCATCTGGCAGAAGGCTCAGATCCATTCGGACCAGAGCCTCCCGCCACAAAAACAGTTTCTTCCCTCTGCAGTTGGACTTTTGAATGAAAATCCTAGGGCAGCCCACTCAAGTGGATTGGTCCCAGTCACATGACCTGATGCTGTGCTTGAAACGTTCAGCAAACACTCAGATTAGTACTTACACGGGGGTAGATAGCTGCTTCTCCAATTCTTGCCACTTTTTACATTAATAATTTTATAATGAGTGTTTTATTAGTTCTTATATTTGCTTATCTCTTAATAATTTTTTTCTATCTTACCTTCTGCACCAAAATACCGCAGCAATTTCTTAATGTTGTGACTTACACATATGGCAATAAAAACTTCTGATTCTGAACCATTTGTTATGTGTATATTTGATGTTATGTCTTCTTTTAAAATCCCATGATGATAACAACCTTCTCCTGTTTTATGACAGTGGAAGCTAAATTATTATTTTTTGTTATTAATTGTTCTGTATAATGTTCAGAAAAGTCCGTCTTACCAGCACATGTTCTTAATAATACAAATGTATTATCAGAACACAGAAAGCTGAATACAGATCAACTCAAACAGCAAACATTGGTTCAGCCCGTTCAGCCCCACCTCTCCGGTCACGCAGCTATGGTTCCTCCCTCTATAAAACCTCCGATGTTGGCTCCTGCTCGGCACACTGGATTCTGCAGTGCATTGGGAAAGTGCAATGGGTTAGAGCTCTTCAAATGATGGACCAATAAAGTACGGTATCTCTGCCTTCAGCTGTGGCTCATATATGACCCGGCAAGCGGTGGGCGCCTCTAGGATTTAGTGGTATTGAAAGGTTTTCTTCTTTCTTTCTCAGTGTTGCTGTTGAGTGGGAACGTCAATAAAATGCTGCCTTGGAAGAAGAATAAGTTTGATCTGATTGAGGAAGACAAGCAGTCCAAGCAGAAGGGCTATGCGGTGAGTCTCAACTACTCTGCGCTCACCTCGTTCGCCAAGTCCTGCCCCGAGAGCGCACTCAACAGGGTGGGCAGCATGTTCAAGTCTAAGAGGAAAAAGGTCAAGATCACCAGCGAGGACCCCACGTACACGGTGCTCTACCTGGGGAACGCCACCACCATCCAGTCCAAAGGGGACGGCTGCACGGACGTGGCGGTGAGCAAGATCTGGGGCAAGAGCGAGATGGGCAAGAACGGCACCAAGATGAGGCTGACCGTGAGCTCGCAGGGCATCCGGATGGTGCATGTGGACGACAAAGCTAGGAGGCCGGGACACTTGTACCTGCTGCACAGGATAACCTACTGCGTGGCGGATCCGCGGCTGCCCAAGATTTTCGCTTGGATTTACCGGCACGAGATGAAGCACAAAGCCGTGATGCTGCGCTGCCACGCGGTGCTGGTGTCCAAGCCGGAGAAGGCGAAAGCCATGGCGCTGCTGCTGTACCAGACCTCAGCCACGGCGCTGTCCGAGTTCAAGAGACTCAAACGGAGAGACGACGCCCGGCACCAGCAGCAGCAGCTCATAGGGGAGCACACCATCCCCCTGGTCCCGCTCAGGAAGCTGCTGAACGGACAGTGTTGTTACAAACCCCCGGTGGAGCGCAGCCGGAGCGCACCCAAGCTGGGCTCCATCACAGAGGACTTGGTCGGGGAGGAGGAGGAGGAGAAAGCCATGCACTTTGAGTGCGAGGACATTCTGGACACAGACCGCGATTGTGTTAACGGCAAACAGGAGCTGACTCAGATTATTAATGATTTGGGAGAGATGAGCATAGGAAACGACGTGCAGACTCTGAAAGCTGACCTCAGAGTCACCAGACTTCTTTCTGGGGAGAGCACGGGGAGTGAGTCCTCCATAGAGAGCAACCAGGAACCCCCTGCGCACAACAACGGACTTGAGGAGATCAAGGTGGTGGAAATAGCCTAAAGACAATTATGTTAATGTTTTTTTAATTGATTTTTTTTAGCTACAATGTCTCCACATGCACCGTTTTCATCTGTTGGGAGTGTTTGTCTGGTCTGAGCCTCCAGGACTGAGATCATAAGATTCTGGAGCTCCTCCTGCACACAGCTAGGCAACAGGAATGACAGACACAGGGAAGTGGAAATGCACATTTGAGAAACGACCAAGACAAAACCCAGTGACTCAGGACTCACTACAGTAAATCTAATTCTTTAATGTAAATGGATTTGTTGTAGCAACACATTTGTTTACCTAAGGTTTTTGTGTGTCACACACTTGAAATGGCATTTTTCAGCGGAAACATGCACATCCTGATCCAAACACAGCATTTCCTTTTTGTTCTAAGGCGCTTCTGCGGGTCTAAACAAGCACCCAGAGGTTTCCTGTCCTGGCTCTTCGGAGACAGGCTGCTTGTTTGTCTTACTTTTGCACTGTCGTGTTGACTACAATGTACATAATGTTATGTCGGTATGTTGCCCGGAACATAAGTGTCATATCTTTGCTGTGCAAAAGAAAAACACCTTTATGTATTGAGAAGAAAAAAAGATAGATGGTATTTTTTTTAAAAAGAAATATCAAATGTGGTTTGATATGTAAACCTCATGGAATTCTCAATAAAAAAGAAAAGTATATAAAGTGGTTTAAGGCTTATTTTTAACGTTCGGGTTGAGATCTCCGGCGTGAGCTCAGCTAGTTTCCACTGCTGAATAAAAGAACACAACCGTGTGTTTGTCAGGAATATAAATCAGTGTCGGTGTAAATTAGTTTTTCCTTTAAAAGTCTTTCCTATAGGTCATTGTCTGTTTTGAGTCAAATTGTTTCCAGGGAACAGAATGCGAGGAAGGTACTGAAGGCCCATTCAGTCCAGCTGGCCTCGGGGGTAAGCAGGTCACACATGAGAACAAGCCAAAGTGCTAGAACATCACATGGGTGCCTTCGTGTGGACAGCGTTTCTATCTCCCTCAATAACATAACATTAATACTTACATCAGATGATCCGAATATTAGTGTAGAATCATAAACGTTGCATGGATTGGATGTGAGCTGGACATAAAAATGTCTCCTTTCAGATTGAGATCTGAGACTCTTGACGTGAGATGTCCTCAAGACACCTCTCGTGTGAACAGTGGTCATCAGAGAGCGTGACTTCGCGATTTTGGCAGCACTTCTGCAGCTCCAAATGTGGACGACGTGTCACTTCCTTTTTCACAGAAGAACACCGAGCAGACTCGCATTCGTTGCAGTTTTTGACAGCTATCTTAATAAGACTGCCACGGCTTTTTGAACTGTTTACGCAGCTGCCATTAGAGCAGTGGTTCTGGTATATCTTTGCGTTTTTACTACTCGTATTTCTTTCAGAGAGAAAAGTGTCCAGAAAAACATCAAAACTACTTTATCTGTGGTTTCTGAAATAATTACAGTGAGCAGAAATAGAAGCAGAGAAAAGACACCATCATGATTTGTGGTTCTTTCACACCAACCGCAGCTTCCTGAAGTCGTGTTTCAAACCATACAGTCTGTCTGACATCACTGGCACGTGTCCATCGTAACGTGCTTATAACAGAGACAGTTCTGCAGCCACTTAAAGATGGAGCTGCGGGCCTTTTGTGTGCCCGTCATGCCTTTTAAAGCCGCTCAGAGCTTTTATGGATGGATATTTCTTCCTGACCTACATTCTCATGCAGCCTTTTGTTGTGTTCCACCTTAGAAGCAACAGCCCAGGTCGTCCAATCTCTCTGGGTTAACTGGCCATCAGCCCCTCGTGCAGCCGAGCCAGCCCCAAACACACGTCAGTGGTTCCTGCACTTTCAAAGATCACAAGAAAGCAGCATTAAACACTTTTTGAAAGGTGTTTTTTTCCTTTCATGGTAGACCATCATATTTTCATAAACCTTCATTTTTTCCACACAAGCTCTGACTTTTAAATCAGTTTGATGTCCATTATGATATGTGTAGGATTAAAATACGTTATTCTCAAATTCTGAAGTAGTAAATGGCACAAACATTAAAGGAGGCATATAGTATTATAGTATCCCTCTCTTCTATTCACGCTCTCTCTTTTTTTCCCATTTTTTAATCACAATTGTCTATTTTTGCTTATTTTGAACACATTTTTTTATCATTTTCTAAATTCTTTTTCATATTTCAAATTTTTTGTTTTTGTGAAGTGCCTCGTGATTTTTATCTTGAGAGGTGCTATAGAAAATATTGTTTCTTCTTCTTCTTCTTTTTATGCAAAAATCACATTTTGTATCTTTTGTGCAGCCATGTTGGTCTCAATTGTCTATAAACACTCCCAATGCGAAAAAAAAATCCACCAATCGCTTTCCTGTCAATTTTTGATTTTAAGAATATTGTGCCTAAATCAAGCCGTTTCAAAATGTTCTCATTTGTGATGTCACAAAAGTGGTAAATTAAACAAAACCACCGCTCACGTGCAAGAGAGCTGCTGATAGAGGAGACACTCTGAGCTCCTACCAGACATCAGAGCTTCTCAGCCGCCTAATGGAAGAGGGGTGGGCGTGGCCAGCTTCGGCTTGTTTCCTTAAAGTGACAGAGCCCTGAAATGACTCATTCTGGAAAGTACTGAAAATGTCAAGAATAAAACTGCTGAAATCAGTTTATGTGAGATGCATTTAGTGCAAATAACTATAAACATGTTTTGTATCAACCATAGAACTATTATAACTTTAAAAAGTCACAATAGCCTCTTTTATAAGACAGACCATCGCGTCATTACAGAGTGATAAATCCGAATTTGTGGGTCTCATAAATGCGGCAAGGAGCAAAGGGGAAAGGTGATAAAACTCGATTCTGATGCGCTTAGCCTCATAGTAATATTGCCGTATGAGCCCCTCGCCTCTGACGGCTAAACGCGTGTCAACCCCGCTAATCCCTTTGGAGCGACTGTGGGAGCCCCCCCCCCCAAAAGAGGGTGGTCGCGTTAGTGACGTATACTGCGCGCCGAGTGCCAGCCGGAAGGGATATAAACACAGATAAACATGGCCTCTCACTAGTATCTTTCAACCACCTACGACATGGCAAACTGGACGGACGCGGAGACCATGGAACTTTTGGCCATACGAGCGGACGAACAGATTAGTCACCTTTTCACGAGGACGGTGAGAGACAGCCAGCTGTTCGGCAGAGTGGTGAAAACACTGGCTGAGCAGGGCGTCGAGCGGGACAAAAAGCAGGTCACATCAAAGCTAAAGGTCCTGAAAAACAAATTTCATCAGTCTGACATGTCTTCCGTCTGACGCTGAATGCACGACCCTGTACGCTACATGCGGGGGGGCCGCCCAGCGACCTCCCTTTATCCCGCCTTGGTGTGAGAGGTGCCTGATGGCAGTTTATTCTAGCTTCAGCTTTGCTACTATAAATGCCAAAATTCTCCCCAGGGAGCCGCGGCAAATCCTGTTTTGCAAACGCTATGGTCCTGTAAAGACAGCTAATACGTCCCCTTTAAAGGGTAGCTAATGAATTTTACTGCAGCCTCAGTTGTTTTTTGCAGCGGCTACCCATCAGTCTTTTTTTTTAAATTAAGAGCAATAAAAAGAAGTGGATTTGTGGCTCTGAATTCACTTTCAGGCACACTCGACTCTCCACAGACAAACCGCAGAAAAGGGCCTAACAATCAGAGTCTGACCTGACACGGAGGCAGACGAGTCGAGCTTTCTAATTATCTGCTAGTTGAATGGCGCCGCAGGCCATCACTGCACCAGATCACCACTACAGCCAGGCAGCCGCACAGCTTCATTTTGAACCATTAAATCTGGTTGTCCATGATGCATGAGAGGAGCTGGGAAAGCACAAGAGCCATCAGCGGCAGTGTTCCCGTGTCTGATTTCACCGTCAGCAGGAGAGACGTCAGAGGAGCTGAGTCAGAGCACAGAGGTGTTGTGACCTTTTCTCAGCGATGGAAAAAAGATAAACGAATCTCATGTAATAGTAGCGCAGATCAACATGTTCTAGCATGGCCTTCATTCATAATTAGGGACTGTATGTAGACTGTTTCTCAGAGCTGAGGGTAGGTGAGGACAGGGAGGTTTGACGCTGCAGTTTGTGCCTCGATGGTGTGTAATCACCACACGGTTAAGTACAGAAGTTGCTGTTGTGTGTCATTTTTACGCTCCTTAACATAGAATTACATGCTGCAGACTTTTGGTGGAGTTGTGGGGGATGTTTTCTAGATGATGTGGCCTTTACAGGCAGACAGCGTCACATGCTGTTGGTGGGGTAGCCAACCTGTGACAGCAGGGAGACAGCTGAGTGAGTAAAAAAAGACAGGGAGAAAAATTCATTGCAAGCCTGAATATGACAGCTGGCATTAACGAGTAGTGCACGTGTCGCTGTGGGCTGTGCATGCACAGACATGCAGAAAAGTTCAGAGGAATTACGGAAGGTTCATGGGAAGACGTGCGAAAACAAATATGTGCTGACTTTTTAAAAAATGATTCCAACAAAATAAAATCTCTGTAAATCACCTGTATGTGTGGAATATTTTGGGTAATTTAATTGTGGTAAACTTATTTATTTTTAGCCTGAAATGTTGATCATTTATCTTTTTTATGTGGCTCCTTTGCATCATGCAACTCTAACAAGTTTAGCTTCACAGCTGTCTGCTCGCTTATTTCTCAGCTGATTTCTCTGTCGTTTAAAAGGTTTTCTATCTTTGCAGCTCTGATTATTGTTGAATGACTTCTCAGTGAAGTGAGAGAAATTACTTCCAATGCACAAAAGGACTATAAATTACAATTTGATCGCTGATGGATGTCATCACTGCTCTTTTTCAGACTCCTCAAGTGATGAAGCAAACTCCTCTGATGTTTCACTTTCCAGCTCCTGCTGTTTGTTCATTTTCCAGGAATGTTCCTTTCCTAAAAATCCATTTCCCTATCAGTTCTGAAATCTCTTCCACTTGCAGGGCTCTGCTTTCTGATTAAAATGGGATGATAATCTGCTTCACAGCAGGAGGGCCATCGTCTAGGCTCACCTGAGCTGTTCTGTCTGCAGTTTGCACGCTCTTTGAGTGCATTTTTGTTTTTTACCTCCAAGAACTCCAGTTTTGTCCTACAGTTAAAAAAATAAATAAACATGCATGTTAGCAGGTTCTAAGGGAACCTTCAGAGAGAGTATATTTGGTTCTGTGTGTTGATCTTTTGATGGGTTGGTGACATGCCTAGCGTACGGAAGAAAAAAAGTCTCACCAGAATAAATAATTATTAAAAAGTTCATCTGTAAAAATTCAATAGCAACAATAACTAAGGTGACTTCCTGGTGACTCAAGCCACAGTAACCGTCACTTGATCGAGTCGAGTGGCTTTTAGCTAATCAAATTACATTTATCTGATCATGCGACATCAGTGAGGCGTCAACTCGATGGAGTGATGATTACTTTGTCTTAGGTCACCAGGAGGTCACCTCACTTGTAGAATTTTTCAAGCTGAAATCCTGCAGTCGGGTTTTTGTGGATGTAATGTTCACTGGCATATTTTAATTTAAAAAAATCAAATACATAATTTCACAGAATAAAAATGCAATGCCATAAATTCAATGTCTAAGAAAAGTCATATTCTGGTGAGACTGGGGTCATAATAAATTGATGCTTGGTTGGTATATTTGATCTAAT